TGTGCGGGGCGCGGCTGCCTCAGGAGAGGGGCTGGAAAGGACAGCTGAAGTCCAGGCCACAGCGGGCTGAGGAAGGGCCCAGGCAGCAGCAGGTGCAGGAGCTCGATGCCTGGTGTGAACCCGGACAGGAGAGAAGCTCCCAGGTTTCTGCTTTAGATGGTTTAACACATTGTATGCGGGAAACGTATTTATACGTTCTACCAGTGTAGTAGAGCGCGGGACAGGTATTAATACGTTTTTTGTAGACTAGCGGTAGAATGCGGGTAACGTATAAATACGTAAATAAAGTTATCGTAATTTTACTGAACGTGGAATTTGCGCAAAAAATTAGCAAAAATGGCCCGCGCCACCTGTTAGCACGCGATAAAAACTCCCCGCGAACAATGTTTAATAACCAAGATCACAGACTGAGTGTTGGGAGTGGGAAGTGACAGAGGAGAGAGAGTGACAGTAATCCCCCTTATCAGCAGTTTTGCTTTCCCTGGCTTCAGTTATTCGGGGTCAACCATGATCCCAAAATAGTAAATGGAAAATTCCAGAAATAAATATAAGTTTTAAATGGTTCGCCATTCTGAGTAGCAAGATGAAATCTCATGCCATGTCAATCCCTCTGGCCCAGGACGTGGATCATCCCTTTGTCCACGGTCTCCAAGCTTTATATGCCGCCCCTGGTTAGTCAGTTAGTAGCCGTCTGGGTTATCAGATCCCATGTTAGGGTATTGAAGTGCTTGTGTTCAAGTCGCCCTTCTCTTACTTAATAATGGCCCTATAGCTGAAACCGGTTTGGCTCAGTGAATAATGGCCCTACGGTGCAAGACTACCAGTGCTGGCCATTAGGATATGCACATGTACTTCCTATACCCGCCGGGGACAAACTACACCCGCCGGCCAGATTCGGCCCCTTGGGCTGATCTATCGGGCGGAGCCAAAAGAGCGGAGGGTTCTCTTGCTCTCCCCTCCACTTCTTCACCAGCAGCAGTGTTAACATGTATTAGTTCACACAAATGCTCCATCCATGCTTTTGTTCCGGCCCCCCGGTCCAGTTTAAGAACCCATTGTGGCCCTCGAGTCAAAAAGTTTGCCCACCCCTGGCCTAGACAACTCCTTCAGCTGATCCTTCAGGTCTCAGTCCAAGGCTGTTTCCCTCCAGGAAGCTTTACTTGACCTCCCTGGTGAGCTGTCAGAGGCTCATCACAGTAGCAT